CTAGGGGTTGTAAGCTCTTAGGCATATTTGGTGTTTACCATCTTTTGAAGTAATCAGATTTTGAGTTTTTTTTGAGATTTTGAGTTGCTAGGGGTTGTAAGCCCACCTGAAGCCGTTTACACCTCCACCCCCTAACATTGTCGCTACCTCCACCCTCTGGCAACCCTACGCTACCATCACCTACCTTACGCTGCTACAACCTAGAAGAGGGTCCCCCATTAACCCTTACATACTTACCCAAGTGTTCTTCCCTTTCAAATATATAATCGATGCCTTAGATGACTACTGGACCGAGTGGTTGTCTGAGTGGAAGGAGTGTCCTCTACTCTTTCAACCTGACAACCATAGAATCAGAAGAAGTATTTATCAATCAAGGAACCAAGGATGAGGAATTCATACCCGAAGATCAAGCTATGAGGTAGCCGAAGAGATAGAACCATATGATGTAGCCTATTAGAGGCATAGTCTAGGGTGAACTTGAACACCTATGTAATAGTTTCAAGAAATAATAAAATCTTCGTTTTGTTATCTGGTGTGTTAAACTGTTATGTGATTTTCTTGAATGGTGACTTGGAAAACTGCGAGACAATACTTGGGACGAGTATGAGTATGTGTGAAAGGTAGTAGATGCATATACTACCGGAAGCACAGGACTCACGCTTGGATCAGGGAAAGTCACAAGGTTACCAAGAAACTAGTAATTGATTTCGATTTATTCAAGTGTGTTGTTACCATTGTTTCGGTAATGACTAAGAAGATTGTTGTTATCCCGACCCTAGTGGTCATATCACATTGAGTCCGACTACGATGAGTAGGCTACATGGTTCAGAGAACCAAGTTTGATGTAGCGTCCGACTTAAACTAAACAATTGAAATCAAAGCGATCAATAGTAATATCGCGCTCGTTGTTAAAGAAGTTGGTAGCTAGAAATGCCTAATGTTAAAGTGTGATTATATCACATTAGAACATGAAGGAAGGCATAGTCTGTTTTAGAATTTAACACTAAGAGACCTAAGTCTAAGTGTTGCAACATACGATGATAGGTCATTAGAATATGACACATCGGTCCATTGTATTAATAAAAGAACTTATCTTAAGTTCGTATCCAGAGAGGATCGAGATTGTGACTTGAAGGTCATAATTTGGAGTCTAACGTGAGATAGAGAGCGTACGCAAGATCGAGCACCGCCTGTAGTCAAGGAGTCTAAGAGTTAGATACACGTTCGAAGAAACATCGAAGTTATGACTTAGGATGAATAGATAACAAATGGAGTCATCATGTGAGCCATGTTTCGTTGATGATTCCGGGACGTAATCATCCTAAGGGGGAGATAATTGTAACGCTCGCAGATCCGGGCTAGTCAATTTAGAGACAATAGGGGTCGAAAATGACTTTTCGACAAAAGATTACTTAGAATAAATAATCTTAACCAAGTTGTGGAATATGTCTCAAGCGTTCCGTACATATAAAGAACGCCAAAATCCGAGTTATAACGAAGAAGTTATGGCCCGCCGAAGTTTTACGGCAAAACCGGCACGGCACCGGGAGACGTAAATAGTGAATTTACGATAGAAGACTTTTTAGCCTTAGCAATCTAAACAAAAGTCGTAGAATATGTTAAACTAAGAACATCGATAAAAAGAACGCCCAAATCTGACTTCGTATGAAGAAGTTATGATTTTTCTAAGATTCGGCTTAGCAGTGCGCGGCCCGAAACTCGAATTTTAGTTCGAGCGGTTTTTGGCTTACGCGACCTAAATGAGAGTTGAAGGTATCATTAATAGGAACTCAACGGTAAAAAGACAGACGAAAACGGAGTCCGGATGAAGGAGTTATGAACTCTTCGCGGTCATTTAACAGTCTAAACGCCTCCTACTGTTAAATTTGAAATCGGTCGAGAATTAGCCGACGGAGTCTAAATGAAAGTTGTATATCTTGATTTTACCTACGCGTGGATATAAAGAACGTCGAAAACGGAGCTCGTATGCGAAAGTTATGATTTTTCTAAGTTTGAGGGCTGATACGCGATAGGGGGTGACGTGGCACCACCAGAATTGGACACGTGGCACCACCAGAAGGCCACCACATGGACCAACTCGGCGAGTAGGTCCCCCCTAATCGGCGAGTAGACCAGTCAGCACCCTTATAAATAGAGGTGTCGGGTTCCCTCATTTCCTCACCCCTCACCCTTCTCTTTCTCTCTGTATACTCTCTCTCTAAGCTCCCTTAAGCCCCTAAAAGCCTAGGTAAACCCCCTAGCACCCGAAGGAAGCCCCGAGGCTCCCGGAGTCCCGAGAAAAGAGCCTTTCGGCTCGGGAAACGCTGCTCCAGCGAAGCCCGGTTTTGCGAAAAACCCGCTGTAAGTGAGCTATGCCTACGCTATCTTTAATATAGCTTATGTTTTAATATAGTAACATTATTAGGAACTTATAATGAGTATTTAGGCTATTATTATGAGTTATATTGAGTGTTATTTAACGCTTATATAATAATAATAATAGTCAGACTATTAATTAGTCACGGTTATCGTTAGACTAAACCCTAGTGGTACTGGTACTAGGTTTTATCGAAGGAATATCGTTTTGAGAGTATCGAAGCGCTGTCCGAGTGCTGAGTCACCACCTATTCAGGTGAGTGCATGGTCCCTTTCATCTTACACATAGATATGAAGTATTTTAATATAAATTACGTGTTGTGTGTGCATATTGTCTGAATACTTGCTGTCTATGTTGGGTGAAAGATTTTTATACATGTTTTAAATGATTTAAACTGTATATGTATTTTATATCTACGAAATGTGTTGGGTAAAACATGGGTAGATGAAATAGTTGTTTTGTGATAACACGGTGTTGTCAGCAACCTAGTCATCTAGTGGAGTATAGATGACGACTATGGACGATACAAGACGGTCCAGTGGAACGATAGCAGTTTCGTCACATGTAGGTATTTTTGAACTACGTGCTCATTAGGTATTTTTGAACTGAGTGTGTTCACTACGTATCTTTGAACTGAGTGTGTTCACTAAGTATTTTGAACTAAATGTGTTCACTAGTTACTTTTGAACTAAGTGTTTACCAGATGTTTCGGACTACGTGTTCACCAGATATATTCTATAAGCCTTGGTAATGATGGACTTCGTGTCGATTCCTTAGGATGATCCTTAGGAATAAATAAACGAGGAATAGCGGGTTCTTAGGGTAGATCCTTAAGGCTAAAGAAGATAATGGGGATGGGTAATTGGGTTGATTGTTTGATTGTTTAAACATAATAATTATATTATTGTGGGTTGAAAACCCTATGTACTCACCAGGTTTCCCAACCTGACCCACTCAGTTTATGTATATCACAGGTGATGAAATGAAGTGACATTACACTGAGAGATTTAAAGAGATGTAGATCACTAGTGTAAATAATTGTAAGTTCTGTTTATGCTTATGTTTCTGTATTAACGATGACATCCCAAATGTTTTAAGATGAGTAAAAATACGTTTCTTCGAAAAATTTTTAATAACGTATTTATCGTGTTTTTCTGGGAACAAATTCCGCAACCTTTTTATAAAATGAAGTACTCTGATTTTCATAAAGCATAATCGGTCTTTTCTGGCCGTGAAAATAGGGATGTCACAGTTGGTATCAGAGAATTAGTTTAAGCGAACTAGGAATATGGATTTATTTCTAGACTTAAACTTAGGATGCTAAGCGATGATTGTGAGGTGTGAGCACTTGCTTAATTTAGGAATGATGCCTAAATTACTTTTATGTGCTAAATGATTTGTTATGCTATAGTTTGATCGGATCTATGGTCTGTTGCCGACCGGATCTGGAAACCTTATGTGTTTAGGATTCTAAACGTACGAATACGATATTAGAACTAGCATATAAACGTTTCGGAGCGATAAGGATGATTTAAACGTCAATCCTATGTAAGGGTCTAGATTCACCTTATTCGGTGTACAGATCAAGATGGCAAGGACCCGTAGCGGAAACGTGAATGCAAATGAGAATAGGAACCAACCCCCAGTGGTTCAGCAAATACCTGTTGTAGAAGAAGTTGCACCTGAGCCAGTCACCATGGCTGGAGTTCAAGCCATGATTCGGGTTATGCTAGCTGAACAAAGGGAAGAAATGAGGCGGATGTTGAATAGGGACGAACCAACTATGCCCACTGAGCAACCCGAGCTGATTCCCGAGCAATCGGAGGAAGGAAACTACAGCCGCCAAGTGAGTCAAGTGGGGACTCAAGGTGATCAAAGGGATGGCCCGGAGAGGAGAAACGACAAGGATGGGCGAATGTACAAAAATTTCTTGGGTGCGAAACCACCAAGTCTCTCAGGAAGCCCAAAGCCTGTTGAGATTATGGATTGGATCTCCGAGATGGAGATGGTGTTTGAGAGCTGTGACTATAGCGAGAAACAGAAGACAGTCTTCGCTGTAAGACAACTAAAAACTGGAGTTTTGAGCTGGTGGAAGCTATTGGCAGATACGATGCCACGAGGAGAAGCCTTAAGGATGTCATGGGAAGAGTTCTTGGAACAGTTGAAAATGCAGTACTGCTCAGAGATAGATCTGATAGACCTAAACAATGAGTTTCAGAACCTAAAGAAAGGGAAGATGAGTGTTGATGAGTATGCCACCGCATTCACCGAGAGGATGAAGCTATTCCCCTACTTGGTGCCTACTGAAATCTCCAAGATTGATGAATAAAAATACGTTTCTTCGAAAAAAATTTTAATAACGTATTTATCGTGTTTTTCTGGGAACAAATTCTGCAACCTTTTTATAAAATGAAGTACTCTGATTTTCATAAAGCATAAACAAAATCGGTCTTTTCTGGCCGTGATTTTGGGGATGTCACATATTGTTTTTGTTTTAAGAGCCACGTTATTGGTGATACTGTTCGCTATGTTTCTCAACTTGATCATGTCATGTACTCCACATTTAAGGATTAAATGTGGAAATCAACGATTCAACCAAGATATACTCTTAGTGGAAAATAAAATGGGAATTAAGAGGGAAACAATAAGAGCAAGTCTCTACACTGTTCGTTGCTTGATCGAAAATAATAAAAAAAACACACAAGATATTCGTTTTATGGAGTTTCTTGCAAAATCTACAACATTTGATGGTGTACAAAATCTTGATGTAACTGAAAAAGTGCATTTTGATGTTGCTAATGGTTGGAGTTTGTCGGTTGTTATCCTATCATGTTTGGGAATGGCGATTCTGGGGATTGATGCGGGCACCATAGATAATCTTTTGAAAACGTCAAACAAGGTCTCGGCTATGTTCAAATTATTGAAGAAAACCTTAACAAAGGTCATCCATATGAAAACAATCAAAACATAGCTGCAAAATTATGGGTTGAAGTGGATAACAATTGTATATGGCTTGGGATAAACTTGAAGAAAAGTGGATTATCAGGGAATAACACCATAGATAATCTTTTGATACCGACGATGACACCAGAAACTAGATCAGGCTAGAGATATTCACATATGGGTAATATTGTTTTTTTGTACTCATTTACCCAATTAACTTTTTTTATCTGTTCAAAAATAACCAACATTACCTGCTATTACCTGTTTTAGCCGGTAACATTGATTTACCTCGGTTGAAAACATTATGTGGAATCTTACGTGGCCATTACACCCATTTCTCATTTAATTAGGGTTCGTCATCGTCAGCTAACACACCTCGATTACCTTCTTCTGTGAGAAATCAAACGATACATCAAATCGACGATTAGGTTTTGGAATTGAAGTTGGAATTGAAGTCGACTGCTAGCATGGCATCCTCATCTACAGGTATGTATGTACCCGTAGATTTTCATTACAATGGATTCTTTTCGCCAAACCCATTGGTGTACTTAGACCCCGTAAAAACAAATGTACGTGATGTGGATTTTAGGGGATTTACGTATAAAGAGTTTCGTTTGTGGCTTAAAAAATTAACTAATAGAGTCTGTGATAATGTCTACTACTGTATGAGAAAGGAAAGCTTGTGTGAGGGTATTAGAAGAATCGAAAGTGATGCTGATTATTAGGAGTTTGTGGATACTGTTTATAGTCTGGAGAGTGATAGTCTTGAGAGTGAGTTAGATGTGTACATTGACCACCGAAATGAACCAATTCTTGATTGGGCTGATAACAAGCTCTTAGCAGATGGTAAAGGGTATGATTCGGATGAGTTAGATGAAGAGGATGACAAGGATTATGAAGCTTCAATGACAATGGAATATGAACATGAATGGGATGATGAAGAGGAACATACTTTTGATAAAACCATTGGAGACCCATTCTTGGACAAACTTTCAGGGCATATTACTGATGATGATGAAGAGGAAGCAAACAATGGGAAGCTTAAGGATGTTGTGTTCCCTGTTCATAATGAGAATCAAGAATGGGAGCAAATGGTGCCAGTTTTGGGTATGAAGTTTTCTAATCCATTGGAATTGAAGTTGTAACTATGCAGTCAAAAATGGATATGATTTATGGTATGAGAAAAGTGATCATGAAAGGTTATTGGTAAAATGTTGTAAAGGTAAGACAAATAAACAGGGTAAAGGTTGTCCTTTTAGGTTGGGGACAACTTGGATGAGCAGTGAAAAATCATTCCAGATTAAATCACTGAATGATATGCATAATTGTGCAAGAGTGTTCAAATTTGGGTCTATTGTTACCTATAAATGGATAGCAAAGCATTTCATGAATCATATACTTCAGAAACCAAAGATGAGTATAAGGAAGTTGAAAGCTAAAGTCAGAAAGAAATTTAATTTGATCGCAAGTGTTGGTCAATGCAGAAATGCAAGGATGTATGCATTTTAGGAGATAGAGGGTACTTTGAAAGAGAATTATGCAAAAACATGGAACTATGGAGAAGATATAAGAAGGACTAACCCTGGATCAATAGTGAAGATGGATGAAGATGTCATGCCTGATGGAACCACATATTTCTCAAAGTTTTATGTATGTTTCAAGGGATTCAAGGATGGATGGATTGAAGGTTGTAGGAGGGTAATTAGACTAGATGGTTTCTTCATAAAGGGCATATGCAGAGGTCAGTTGCTCTCTACTATAGGTAGAGATGCAAATAACCATATATATCCTATTGCTTGGGCTGTTATATCCGTGGAAAGTAAAGAAACATGGAAGTGGTTTATTGACCTTCTAATTGAGGACCTTGGAATGGGAGTTGGGCATGGACTAACCTTGATATCAGACCAACACAAATTAATCAATTTATATTATTTCCATCTTTATTTTAGCTTATGTTATGTTTTTTTTGTTTAAGTTTTGTGTCTATTGCTGACAGGGATTACTTGAGGCTCCAGGTAACGCTCCTCGAATAGCCTCAAAACACAATCCCGATAGACCTCCGATGCTCGCACCGACCGTTCGTCCGCAATCTCGACCTCTAGAGGGCAATCCAACATGCCCGAAGACTCCAGAAACTTCTTGCTATGCACAAGAGATACAAAAGATCGGGTGGCACCCGAATCAAACAACACCTGAACTGGGATTCCGTTCACATGGAACGATCCTAAACAAGGCACATGATATATCAAAATCACAGCGACATAATATAAAAGCATAAGGATAAGAAGTCATACCCGTCACACATCGGGTGCAGCACGTGCCTCTTCGGTGGTCAGCTGAAATACTCGGCTCCGAACCACTAGATCCTCCAACTTGGCCTTCCGGCCATCCACGACCCATGTTGTCGCTGGAATCGGCGCCACAGTCGGCGCCGCTGCCGCTGCTGCTGTCAATCTAGGGCAATTGACCTTTTTATGGACCTTCTGATTGCAATGAAAGCAAATCAGGTCTGACACCTGCATAGTCGGAGTAGGGGCATTACAATCCCTGCCAAAATGCCCAACCTTGCCGCACTTTTAGCAGCCTGACCCCGACCCAGTGCGGCAAGCTCTGTCATGTGATCGATCGCATTTTCCACAGCAGTCCCGCCCAAACTGGACTTTCGGCCTACCATCGGATCCCTTGGGCTTCTTCCCCGAAGCCCCTGCCGTCTGCCCTTCCACTGCCTTCCTCTTCCGGATGTAGTCCAAATCAATCTCCCTCTCCCTAGCCCTGGCAATCTTGGAATCCAGGGTAGGGCAAGTTGAAAAACTAACATGCTCCCGGATGTTAGCTCGTAGCATGTCATGGTAACGGGTCCTCTTCATGTCCTCATCACCCACATACTGGGGCACCAACAAATCCCTCTCCTGGAACTTGATGGTGATCTCCGCCACAGTCTCCGTAGTCTATCTCATATTCAAGAACTCCCTGGCCAGCTGTTGAAGCTCTAGAGCTGGGGAAAACTCTGCTATGAACCGGATCACGAAATCCAACCAACCCATAGCCTCAATAGTCGAGGCTCCTAGAGAGTCACCAACCGAATCCCACCAATCCCTAGCCCGGTCCCTCAAACACCCTGCTGCAAATCATACCTTCGACCCCTCAGGGCAGAAGCTGGTCAGCTGTGCAAACTTAATGTCTGCAATCCATCGTCTGGCAGCAATGGGGTCCTTCGCCCCATGGAAATCTGGCACACCACTCCCTTTGAAGTCCTTAAAGGACAGTGTGCGTGGTCCTGACTGGCTAGCCGCCATGTCACTCCGGAACGCCCTGAGGCGATCCTCCATCAGCTCAATGATCCCCTCCTTGATCGACCCGAAGATAACCGACATCGCATCAAGGATACCCCTCATGATCTCGAACGCAATGAAATCGCGCAACCGATCATCCACATGCTCGGATCCTGCCCCTGAGCCCGATCCTGACCCAGATCCTGAACCTCCTGCTCCATGTCGTGTGACCACCATTCTGAAAAATAAACATATGAATGTCAGGGTCACATACACTTTCCAAGTTTCCCGGTTCCATCTAGGCCCTCCTTGGTTCGAGTACGAATCCTCTACTTTCAATAGTACGAGCCCATACTACCTTCCACATCTATCCGTACTTTCCCCAAGAATTGCTTTGACTTCCCCCAGACCCTTTTTCCGATACCCTTTTCACTGACCTCACCCTAGGCTTCCTTAGGGTACTCTCCGACCTACTCTCCGCCATCAGCTGCACTAGAAGTCCCCACCACCTCCCCCTAACTAGTTTACGGATACTGTTACATATCCTCTCCTTAATTAGTTGAAGCTGGTCAGAATCCCCATAGCACAAAGCAAGCAGCATTTGTGCATTAAGTAACCAGACCAGACATAACCTACACAGGCCATCCTATGGCTAACTAAATAGTCCTAGCATATAACTCATACAACAGGCACATAAGGCATCCTTCCTAGATCCTTAGCCCTAACTAGCATGCAATTCTCATAATCAAATATCAGGCACACAAGGCATCCTCCTAGATCCTTAGCCCTATTCTAGCATGCAGTTTTTTGAATCAAAACCAAATAACATAACATAACAAGTATGGGTATCTTGGGGAAAACTTACTTGAGCCCGGCCGGTCGCACGCATCACACACTTCGTCTTTCTTAAAATTTCTCAGTTTAGACTTTATAAAACTATTTTTCCTTGAAAGATCTTTTAGTCCCTCGGTTTGAGTCAAGATACCTCCGAGGGTATGTCCGAATCCCTCAAACCAGGGCTTTGAAACCAACTTGTAACGACCCAATTTTCAACGCCAAAAATTTCATTTTTGGTTTAACGTATTTAACAAAATTTTTACCAAAACTTTGTTAATAAAACATCCAATAAAAAATCATAGTGTTGTATTTTAAACCATAACATCATAACTTTTGAAAATCAGAGTACAGTCCCAAAAATTCTTGCGGAACATCTGAGTGTGTGTGATGCGCTGCTACGCTGCCGACTCTTTCCCTTTCGACGAAGAGTTACCTGAAACTAAAACCAAAATTGTAAGCACAAAGCTTAGTGAGTTCCCCCATCATACCACATACCACACAATAACGTCGGTATCATTCAACCGATAATATTCATCGGTATCTTTCAACCGGTAACCGGTAACCATTATAAGCGTACAGTCAGGCATATTCGGGTACTGACCTACCCTTGGTTCCTATGGACCACTGTTAGGGAAACTAATCCCTACTAAACACATAACATATAATCCAGATAAATCACATAACCAGACCAAGATAAATATCACAAGGACCATTATCTTATAAATACCCCTTTTTGGTGGGCCGGCATTGTGGCCTTAGACCCACCCCTACTGGAAGGTAACTCGCCTCAATGTCGTGCAATGTCTGAAATATCTTCGGTGCACAAGTCAACTCCCTACGACTCCTCGATCCCTACACGACAACCTCCAAGTCAACACAAATCACATACAACCCTAAACAGGTTCAGCCAAGTTCAGTCAAAGTCAATACTGGTCAAAGTCAACATTCAGTTGACCTGACTCGCCGAGTTGGCCTACCAACTCATCGAGTCCATGCTTCACTAAACCCACACAAAACCCTGGCTCCACTCATCGAGTCTAGCGAAACTCGGCGGGTTCTCCTTCAGTCATAACAACGGGACCATGTTCATCCGACTCGCCGAGTTCCTTCTTGAACTCGTCGAGTTCATCTCCAACGTAAGAACTTGTCCAGTCTATGACTCGCCGAGTTGTATGAACAACCCGTCGAGTCCATCTTCAAAGATTGGGAGATTGCTATGGACTTTCCGAGTCTGCTCATACCACTCGCCGAGTCCCAAGGCTTCTAGATCCCTTTTCACGTCTAAACCCACAAGGGAATTTCTTCCTCTCATTTACCCATTTACAGGAAGGGTTTGGTGCACAATGGTCACGGACTCGTCGAGTGCCAAGAACAACTCGCCGAGTCCAGTCTTGACCAACTCCATACAGTCGATTTAAATGCGGTCTAACACATTAAAACCATAGATCTGGCCTCCTAATGTCCATTTTATACGTAAAGTTCCAAACTTAATGCACATGCATGGGGTTTTTAGCTCAAAAATCCATATAAAGTGTCTTACAATGTGCATGGGGCTCTCATGGCCCTAAAGTTGGCACCTTTATGCCATGAGACCCCTCTTAAGGCTCATATCTGAAGCTAAAGTCCACATAACACTCCCTAAATCCGAAAATGGCTTGAAAAGCCCTAAATGCACCCAAGATCCACATACTAAAGATGAACAACTAAATGAAAGATGAAAAGCACCAAGTCGAATACTCAAGCTCCTCTTCTTCCTTCCAAGCTTCACAAGTCAACAAAAGCACCAAAATGGCCGTAACACACACATATACGACTAGGGTTTCGCTATGCAAATCTAGGGGAGTGTTAGCGACAAGGGAGGCCAAGTTAATGTGTTTATATAGGGTGCAAACCCTCATATTAGGGTTTTTGTCCAAACAGCACAGACTCGTTGAGTCCGGTCTCTGACTCGCCGAGTCATCCACTTAACTCCAGTGTCCAATTCGCTTCCACTCGATAAGTTGGGCCACCAACTCGCTGAGTCCCAAGCCAAAATG